AGCAACATAATGTACGACTTCAGGCTCAAAGAGCAAGACAAGCTCAAACACAATCTAATTTCAAATAAAGCTTTGTTTGATCAAATGCTTTTTTATTTCTCGCATCACAGCTTTTGCTACTTAATGAATAATTTGCTTAAAAAATACTGATCCATACATTTCAAATCTAAATTTTCACAATGCTGGGTAACTCAGCTAGTATAAATCATAAAATTCTCCATCATATAGAAATAAACAGCTAAGTTATTTTTTCTTTATAATTCAATAATGCTATTTGTGATATAAGCTTCACTGCAATAAAGATAAAATGTAAATGTAAATTTCTTTGCTTTTAAAAAACTTCAATTTACATTTTATAATTAAAGAACCACAATACCTTTACTTAAAATATAATAAAAGTTTGTGTAAAGTTAAAAACAATTATTATCTCTTTATTTAAAAGTTATGCTTTAGAATAAACAAAATATTAACTGTCAAAAACATCTAAGACTTAATTTACCAGTGTAAATTCCAACATGGTACCAAATTCAATGTAACTTGTCCTGTACTTTAGATAGTAAGAACAATTTAGCCTTAAAGTAATATGTAAAACAGCAAGATAGCTACAGACCAGGATCAATGACTACATAATTCACATCAGATTTATGAAAGCAAAAAATCCTGCCATAGCATAATGCAAGCCACAACAAATCCTGGGTGCCAGGTTGCCATAGCGACTAAAAATTTCATTGTGGCACCTAGCATTTTCTCACAGTTTATTCATGCATAGGGGTGTGCAAAATAGATCTCGAATCTAGAACAGTTCTGGACTCTTGGTAGTCAGGAGCTATTTTCGAGTTCTTTGAGCCCTAACTTGAACTTTGTTTCTAGGATTTTAATGGCAGATTCAGCAAATCATCTTTTTTAAGGAATGAAGTGCTGCAGTTGCACAATAAGTTACTAATTTCACACGATTTTGTTTTTCTTCTTTCTCTCAATTCAACTGATCAGTACGTGTGTTTAGAGTCAGATGGGACCAAAGGCAGTTAGTTCAGGCAATATTACCAAGTGGTTGTTAATATCATGTGATCATTAGCATGCACTTGTTGCTTGTGAAAGTAAATAAATATAGCCCCCATTTCCCAGTACAAACAGTAGTGAAGTTAGGTTAGGCGCACCAAAAGGCCTTTGCTTATCATTGTACAGTGTCGTAGTGATGAGTAGATAAGACTGATTCTGAAACAACTTGCTTGGCCTATTGATATCACAGTGCAATGCTTACTTTCATTCATTGCAAGAATCCACCTAAATTATAGTTATTTATTCTACAATTTTAAAAATTGTCCATACTGAAGTGTAACTTTAATATATGTTGTATAATAAAGTTTAATAATGAACCCTTTGTTGTTTAGTGTAAAACTGTATGTCTGGTACCATAATCACACAACAGACTCACAATATATTCCACAAGTTTTCTATATCAGACCTGGTTCCTATGTTTTTGGGCTGTCCTCTAGATCTGAAAATATTTGTCTAAGCCTGGCATAATGTAATACTTCTGTAAATAATCAAGCTAAAGCACAATTTCTATAACTGACTGAGAACACTGATGGAAAAAAAATCATAAAATTTAAAATATAGACAAACTAACCATCCAAAAACCATCATAGATCAAGATATATATCATCAAACTTTGGATGTTTATTCTGAAACACCATCACCAGCTAATAACTCAGTCCAACATCAAAGTTCCTTCCTTTACAATCCTTCAATCAACATTTTGTGTAATTTTTTCTAATTTCTGGAAGTACACAAAAGTCACTGCCTCCACACCTCAGCTTGCAACTTTCTTTCACAGCTCTGACTTTCCTATACAAAGATGCAAAGTTATCCAAATGTAAGCCTGAAGAAGCTGTGTGTTCTAACCTTTCTATACAAAGATACAAAGTTATCAAAAGGTAAGCCTGAAGAAGCTGTGTGTTCTGTAGGCAACCCGTGCATTTTCTATGTTTTAATACAGAATTTTTCAAAATTAGTCAGTTATTCTAGGTATGTGGAATTTTCACATAATA